CTGACGCACCACCAAGGAGTCCAATGACAGCGATCGATGACGGTTCTGTATGTCTTTGTACAACGCTACAAAATACGCCAGCGCTACAACATCGATTAATATTTAAAAAAAAATAAAGTCTGGAGCCGTTTGTCGGGCGATAGGGATGCTTTGTCGGGCGATGGCGTTGGTTTGCCGGGCGATGGCGATGGTTCGTCGGACAATGGTTCGTTGGGTGATGGTGATGGATTGTTGGGCGATGGCGATGGTTTGTCGGGCGATGGCGATGGTTTGTCGGGCGATGGCGATGGTTTGTCGGGCGATAGTGATGGTTTGTCGGGCGATGGCGATGGTTTGCCGGGCGACGGCGATGGTTTGCCGGGCGACGGCGATGGTTTGTCGGGTGATGGTTAGTCAGGTGATAGCGATAGTTTGTCGGGCGATGGCGATGTTTTGTCAGGCGATAACGATGGTTTTTTCAGGTAATAGCGATGGTTTGTCAGGCGATAACGATGGTTTTTTCAGGTAATAGCGATGGTTTGTCAGGTGATAGTGATGATTTGTCGGGCGATAGCGATGGTTTGTCGGGCGATGGCGATGGTTTGTCGGGCGATGGCGATGGTTTGTCGGGCGATAGTGATGGTTTGTCAGGTGATAGTGATGATTTGTCGGGCGATAGCGATGGTTTGTCAGGTGATAGTGATGATTTGTCGGGCGATAGCGATGGTTTGTCGGGCGATGGCGATGGTTTGTCGGGCGATAGTGATGGTTTGTCGGGCGATGGCGATGGTTTGTCGGGCGATGGCGATGGTTTGTCGGGCGATAGTGATGGTTTGTCGGGTGATAGTGATGATTTGTCGGGCGATAGCGATGGTTTGTCGGGCGATGGCGATGTTTTGTCGGGCGATAGCGATGGTTTTTTCAGGCGATAGTGATGGTCTGTCGGGCGATAGCGATGGTTCGTCAGGTGATAGTGATGATTTGTCAGGTGATAGTGATGATTTGTCGGGCGATAGCGATGGTTTGTCGGGCGATGGCGATGTTTTGTCAGGCGATAGTGATGGTTTGTCAGGTGATAGTGATGATTTGTCGGGCGATAGCGATGGTTTGTCGGGCGATGGCGATGTTTTGTCAGGCGATAGCGATGGTTTTTTCAGGCGATAGTGATGGTTTGTTGGGCGATAGCGATGGTTTGCCAGGCGATGGTCTGTCGGGCGATAGCGATGGTCTGTCGGGCGATAGCGATGGTTCGTCAGGTGATAGTGATGGTTTGTCAGGTGATAGTGATGGTTTGTCGGGCGATAGTGATGGTTCATTGGGCGATAGCGATAGTTTGTCAGGCGATTGTCGGGTGATAGCGATGGTTTGTCAGGTGATTGTCGGGCGATAGCGATGGTTTGTCAGGTGATTGTCGGGCGATAGCGATGGTTTGTCAGGTGATTGTCGGGCGATAGCGATGGTTTGTCAGGTGATTGTCGGGCGATAGCGATGGTTTGTCGGGTGATTGTCGGGCGATAGCGATGGTTTGTCGGGCGATTGTCGGGCAACAGCGATGGTTTGTCAGGTGATTGTCAGGTGATAGCGATGGTTTGTCGGGCGATTGTCGGGCGATAGCGATGGTTTGTCAGGCGATTGTCGGGCGATAGCGATAGTTTGTCAGGTGATTGTCGGGCGATAGCGATAGTTTGTCAGGTGATTGTCGGGCGATAGCGATGGTTTGTCAGGTGATTGTCGGGCGATAGCGATGGTTTGTCAGGTGATTGTCAGGTGATAGCGATGGTTTGTCGGGCGATTGTCGGGCAACAGCGATGGTTTGTCAGGTGATTGTCGGGCGATAGCGATGGTTTGTCGGGCGATTGTCGGGCAACAGCGATGGTTTGTCAGGTGATTGTCAGGTGATAGCGATGGTTTGTCAGGCGATTGTCGGGCGATAGCGATGGTTTGTCAGGTGATTGTCGGGCGATAGCGATAGTTTGTCAGGTGATTGTCGGGCGATAGCGATGGTTTGTCAGGTGATTGTCAGGTGATAGCGATGGTTTGTCGGGCGATTGTCGGGCGATAGCGATGGTTTGTCGGGCGATTGTCAGGTGATAGCAATGGTTTGTCGGGCGATAGCGATGGTTTGTCAGGAGATTGTCGGGCAATAGCGATGGTTTGTCAGGTGATTGTCGGGCGATAGCAATGGTTTGTTGGGCGATTGTCGGGCGATAGCGATGGTTTGTTGGGCGATAACGATGGTTTGTCAGGCGATTGTCGGGCGATAGCGATGTTTTGTCAGGTGATTGTCAGGCAATAGCGATGGTTCGTCGGGCGATAACAATGGTTTGTCAGGTGATTGACGGGCGATAGCAATGGTTCGTCGGGCGACAGCGATGGTTTGTCAGGAGATTGTCGGGCGATAACGATAGTTTGTCGGGTGATAGCGATGGTTTGTCAGGAAATTGTCAGGTGATAGCGATGGTTTGTCGGGCGATAGCGATGGTTTGTCAGGAGACTGTCGGGTGATAGCGATGGTTTGTCAGGCGATTGTCGGGCGATAGCGATGGTTTGTTGGGCGATAGTGATGGTTTGTCAGGTGATTGTCGGGCGATAGCGATGGTTTGTCAAGCGATTGTCAGGTGATAGCGATGGTTTGTCGGGCGATAGCGATGGTTTGTCAAGCGATTGTCAGGTGATAGCGATGGTTTGTCGGGCGATAGCGATGGTTTGTCAGGTGATTGTCGGGCGATAACAATGGTTTGTCAGGAGATTGTTGGGCGATAACAATGGTTTGTCAGGTGATTGTTGGGCGATAACAATGGTTTGTCAGGTGATTGACGGGCGATAACAATGGTTTGTGAGGTGATTGTCGGGAGATAACAATGGTTTGTCAGGTGATTGACGGGCGATAGCGATGGTTCGTCGGGAGATTGTCGGGTGATAGCGATGGTTTGTCAGGTGATTGTCGGGCGATAACGATGGTTTGTCGGGCGATAGCGATGGTTCATCGAGCGATAGTGATGGTTTGTCAGGCGATAGCGATGGTTTGTCAGGTGATTGTTGGGCGATAGTGACGGTTTGTCAGGCGATAGTGATGGTTTGTCAGGCGATTGTCAGGCGATAGTGATGGTTCGTCGGGCGATATCAATGGTTTGTCAGGAGATTGTTGGGCGATAGCGATGGTTTGTCAGGCGATTGTCAGGCGATAGTGATGGTTCGTCAGGCGATTGTTGGGCGATAGCGATGGTTTGTTGGGCGATGGTGATGGTTTGTCAGGCGATTGTCAGGCGATATCAATGGTTTGTCAGGCGATTGTCAGGCGATAGTGATGGTTTGTCAGGTGATTGTCGGGCGATAGCGATGGTTTGTCAGGTGATTGTCGGGCGATAGCGATGGTTTGTCGGGCGATAGCTTGTCAGGTGATTGTCGGGCGATAACGATGGTTTGTCAGGTGATTGTCGGGCGATAGTGATGGTTTGTCAGGAGATTGTCGGGCAATAGCGATGGTTTGTCAGGTGATTGTCGGGCGATAGCGATGGTTTGTCAGGTGATTGTCGGGCGATAGCGATGGTTTGTCGGGCGATAGCTTGTCAGGTGATTGTCGGGCGATAACGATGGTTCGTCGGGCGATACCGATGGTTTGTCAGGAGATTGTCGGGCGATAGCGATGGTTTGTTGGGCGATGGTGATGGTTTGTCAGGCGATAGTGATGGTTTGTTGGGCGATGGTGATGGTTTGTCAGGCGATTGTCAGGCGATATCAATGGTTTGTCAGGCGATTGTCAGGCGATAGCGATGGTTCGTCGGGCGATAGCGATGGGTGGGGGTTGGGATTTTTGTTATTGGAGATTTTCTGGAAGGAGATGAGAGGGATTGTTTTTGGGAGGGGGTGCAGTAATGGCTCCTCTGAAGGACAGGACCGCGCTCTGGCGTTCTCTCGCTCGGCCCCTCCGCAGGAATGTATTTATTTTAGCCTGCAAAGGAAGTTCAGCGTTTTCCAGCTCCGGCGCACAGCTGGACCCGAGTCAGCGATGGAGTCATCGGGGGGAGAAGATTAGGAACTAGACAAATTCTTTTTCGGTGATTCATCGCGCTGCATTATTCATAGCGACTGGGGAGGGGAACAACAAAAAAAAAAAAGTTACGCTACGGAAACTTTTACCAAAACAATAAAAAATGAACCCACCGGGGTGCTGCTGCCGAGAGGGGGGGGGGGGGGGGGGACGCCTCTGTACTGCAACCCAGGAATCCTATGATGTAATATCTGGGTGTAGTCAGACCGCAGGCCGGTGTGTTTTTCATTTTCTATGTACCCCGGGTTCACATCTGTGCGGCCGCCATTTCCCCGGGCATGAGAGCCCATTCATTGGAATACACTCCTGTGCCCCGGGACATGCAGGGAAGATGTCCGTGTGCTACCTGGGAAATCCCAGCCCGAGGTTCCCAGTACGGTTGCGATTTCCAGTGTGGGATGCGTGCCATTAGAAGTAATGTCTCCCATCTGCGTGTCCCGCGTTCCTCTGTGGGGGTGGTGCGGCTGCAGGTATGTGTGCGGGTCCCGCGTTCCTCTGTGGGGGGGTGGTGCGGCTGCAGGTATGTGTGCGGGTCCCGCGTTCCTCTGTGGGGGTGGTGCGGCTGCAGGTATGTGTGCGGGTCCCGCGTTCCTCTGTGTGGGTGGTGCGGCTGCAGGTATGTGTGCGGGTCCCGCGTTCCTCTCTGGGGGTGGTGAGGCTGCAGGTATGTGTGCGGGTCCCGCGTTCCTCTGTGGGGGTGGTGCGGCTGCAGGTATGTGTGCGGGTCCCGCGTTCCTCTGTGGGGGTGGTGCGGCTGCAGGTATGTGTGCGGGTCCCGCGTTCCTCTCTGGGGGTGGTGAGGCTGCAGGTATGTGTGCGGGTCCCGCGTTCCTCTGTGGGGGTGGTGCGGCTGCAGGTATGTGTGCGGGTCCCGCGTTCCTCTGTGGGGGTGGTGCGGCTGCAGGTATGTGTGCGGGTCCCGCGTTCCTCTGTGTGGGTGGTGCGGCTGCAGGTATGTGTGCGGGTCCCGCGTTCCTCTGTGTGGGTGGTGCGGCTGCAGGTATGTGTGCGGGTCCCGCGTTCCTCTGTGTGGGTGGTGGTGGGCTGCAGGTATGTGTGCGGGTCCCGCGTTTCTCTGTGGGGGTGGTGCGGCTGCAGGTATGTGTGCAGTTCCCGTGTTTCTCTGTGTGGGTGGTGCGGCTGCAGGTATGTGTGCAGTTCCCGTGTTTCTCTGTGTGGGTGGTGCGGCTGCAGGTATGTGTGCGGGTCCCGCGTTCCTCTGTGTGGGTGGTGCGGCTGCAGGTATGTGTGCGGGTCCCGCGTTCCTCTCTGGGGGTGGTGGTGAGGCTGCAGGTATGTGTGCAGTTCCCGTGTTTCTCTGTGTGGGTGGTGCGGCTGCAGGTATGTGTGCAGTTCCCGTGTTTCTCTGTGTGGGTGGTGCGGCTGCAGGTATGTGTGCGGGTCCCGCGTTCCTCTGTGTGGGTGGTGCGGCTGCAGGTATGTGTGCGGGTCCCGCGTTTCTCTGTGTGGGTGGTGCGGCTGCAGGTATGTGTGCGGGTCCCGCGTGCCTCTGTGTGGGTGGTGCGGCTGCAGGTATGTGTGCGGGTCCCGCGTTTCTCTGTGGGGGTGGTGCGGCTGCAGGTATGTGTGCAGTTCCCGTGTTTCTCTGTGGGGGTGGTGCGGCTGCAGGTATGTGTGCAGTTCCCGTGTTTCTCTGTGTGGGTGGTGCGGCTGCAGGTATATGTGCAGTTCCCGCGTTCCTCTGTGTGGGTGGTGCGGCTGCAGGTATGTGTGCGGGTCCCGCGTTCCTCTGTGTGGGTGGTGCGGCTGCAGGTATGTGTGCGGGTCCCGCGTTCCTCTGTGTGGGTGGTGCGGCTGCAGGTATGTGTGCGGGTCCCGCGTTTCTCTGTGGGGGTGGTGCGGCTGCAGGTATGTGTGCAGTTCCCGTGTTTCTCTGTGTGGGTGGTGCGGCTGCAGGTATATGTGCAGTTCCCGTGTTTCTCTGTGTGGGTGGTGCGGCTGCAGGTATGTGTGTGCGGGTCCCGCGTTTCTCTGTGTGGGTGGTGCGGCTGCAGGTATGTGTGCGGGTCCCGCGTTCCTCTCTGGGGGTGGTGCGGCTGCAGGTATGTGTGCGGGTCCCGCGTTCCTCTGTGTGGGTGGTGCGGCTGCAGGTATGTGTGCGGGTCCCGTGTTCCTCTGTGGGGGTGGTGCGGCTGCAGGTATGTGTGCGGTTCCCCCGTTCAGCTGCTGCAGAGATCCACACAGGGGATCAGTTCCAGGAATCCCCCCCCCTCCCCCCACCATGCCGATCACCCTCCTGTGCACATCCAATTCACCCATCTGCCTGGGCCCCCCAACTAGCCTGGGCCCCGTACAGGACGGGTGGTACCCCCTTATTGTCATTTCTCAGCCGAGACGTGTGCCGTGTTGAGGACCGTTCCTGAGCGCGGAGGTTCTGTAGGTCACACGGCTCTCATATGTGTGGCGCCAACCTCATCGGACCGCCTGCATGTCACCGGAGGGTGAACGCCGTCTGTCCAATGGCGGGAGGTTGGAGCGGCTGCCATATGACTACACAGGATTTGATCATTCTATAACATGGCGGTCAGATTCGTCTGGTAAGCCCCCCCCCCCCGAGCACTGAGTGGGGGGGGGGGCACGTGGTGCACTAAGATTTGTTTGGTCATCTGATTGAAGATATATGATTGCACTCGTGGACGTATTATAGTGTCCTTTGGCACAGGCAGAGGCATCCCTAGGGTTGGTGTCACCCGGTGCCGTAACATGTGGTGTCACCCCTCCAGAGAGGAAGGAGTGGTGCCGGTGTAGCGGTACGAGGATCCCGCGAAGATATGTATCTCCTGACGCAACTGCGCATGTGCCGGTTTCAGGCCGAAGAAGCCGATCTCTGACTTCAGCACAGAGCTGCCATGGTTAAACCCTTACAGGCTGCAAACCGCTGAAGTCGATCCCGCGGATCATTATGGGGTGCAACCCCCCCCCTCCATGTCACTCACCCCCCCCATTTTATCACTGTCCTCTCTCCGATCCATTATGCTCCCCAAACTACAGATCCGATCCATCTTGCGGGGAGCATCGGCTTGCAACCTATACGGGGTTAACTGATCTTGCACCCCATAGTGATCCGCGGGATCAGCTTCAGCGGTTTGCAGCCTGGAAGGGGTTAAACATGGCAGCTCTGTGCTGAAGTCAGAGATCTGTGCGTCAGGGGACATATCTTCACGGGTCGGGATACTGGCTGTACGGCTACATCGGGGGCAGCTGTCACTGTGCCGGGAATCCGGGATCACCCCAAGAACTGGCAAGAACCTTCACAGAGCTCAGAAGCTGTGCTGGCATCCTGCTCCTGCACCCCCTGTGATGGTGTCACCCGGTGGGCAGCACCCCCCCTAGGGACACCACTGGGCACTGGGACTCACTTATTCACTTCACAGAGTTTTTTCGTTGTGCTTTTATTCTATCAGTTAGGATACAATATATCACTCGCCCTTTTATATATATACATACAGTTGTGTTCAGAATAATATCCGTGTGATGAATAAAGTGAATAAAGCTGCAAATCCTTCTAATCCTTTTCTTTCCATCCACACAAATGCATTGGGAACACGACACATTCTATTCCAAATCACAACATGAAGAAAAATACATCAAATTTGTGTTGTTCCTCTAAAAAAATGGAAGAAAAGTGAATATTAGACGGTTCAAAAAAAATCTCAGTGTTTGTATTCTTCTTTACAAACTCCAACATTCACTATATAAACTGAGAAATGTTTGAAGATTTTGCTTTCCTTTGAATGACTTCATGAATATTTGGTTGTAGTCGCACTGTTTCTGAGAACTGCTGTACATCTGTGTTGCATGGAGTCCCCCAACTTCTGGCCCCTGTGATCAGGTATTCCAGCCCAGGATGATTGGACCACATTCCACAGTTCTTCTCTATTTCTTGGTTTGGCCTCAGAAACGGCATTTTTGATGTCACCCCACAAGTTTTCTATTGGATGAAGATCCGGGGATTGGGCTGGCCACTCCATAACGTCCATCTTGTTGGTCTGGAACCAAGATGTTGTACATTTACTGGTGTGTTTGGGGTCGTTGTCTTGTTGGAACACCCATTTCAAGGGCATTTCCTCTTCAGCATAAGGCAGCATGACCTCTTCAAGTATTCTGATGGATTCAAACTGATCCATGATCCCTGGTATGCGATAAATAGGCCCAACACCGTAGTATGAGAAACATCCCCATATCATGATGCTTGCACCACCATGCTTCACGGTCTTCACAGTGTACTGTGGCTTGAATTCAGTGTTTGGGGGTCGTCTGACAAACTGTCTCTGCCCACTAGACCCAAAAAGAACAATCTTACTTCCATCAGCCCACAATGTTGCGACATTTCTCTTTAGGCCGGTCAATGTGCTCTTTGGCAGATTGTAACCTCTTCAGCACACATCTTTTCTCCAACAGTGGGACTTTGCGGGGACTTCTTGCAGATAGCTTGGCTTCACATAGGCGTCTTCTAATTGTAACAGTCCTCACAGGGAACGTCACACCTTCTTTCATCTTCCTGGAGCTGATTGTTGGCTGAGTCCTCACAGGGAACGTCACACCTTCTTTCATCTTCCTGGAGCTGATTGTTGGCTGAGTCCGCCCCATGTTGGATATTCTTCTATCCATTCCAATGGTAGTTTTTCGCTTTCTTCCATGTCTTTCAGGTTTTGGTTGCCATTTTAAAGCATTTGGATCATTTTAGCTGAGCAGCCGATCATTTTCTGCACTTCTTTATATGTTTTCCCCTCCAATCAACTTTTTAATCGCGGTACGCTGTTCTTCTGAACAATGTCTGGAACGACCCATTTTCCTCAGAATTTCAGAGAGAAATGCACTGTAACCAGCATGTCCAACATTTGCTGCCTTCCTTCCTTAAATAAGGGCAATAATTGCCACCTGTTTATCAAAGAATTAATGACGTCACTATTAGAACTCCACACGGCTATTATTGTGAACATGCCCCTTTCAATGAGTGATTCAATGACACAGAATCAGCAGCACGCATGTCATGACTGTTGGGTCTGTTGGATTTCTATGACTCTACTACACCTGCTAGGAAATTATTTGCCATGTAGAAATATCATTTCCACCAAAAACAGAGATTGATCCGGTTAGTGATGTCTGACTGCGATTATTGTCAACACAACTGTATGTTGTGTGCATTCTCTGTATCAGAATACAGGCGTACCTCAGTTTACTAATTTAATGCGCCCTCCGGGACATTTTGTATGCGGTTTCCCATAGCAATCCATTGAAAACCAATTAATCCGTTCCGGAGGTCAGAAAAAAGTAAAAAAAAAAGTCGCTGTCACTATAGGTCGGTGTCGGTTTTTAAATGTAATTACCAGCTTTTTTTTCTCTTCACTGCAGCTCAGAGAATCAGCTGTCACTTTCCCCCCAGCTAAAAGAAACAGTTAAACTCAAAGGATACATTGTTTCTTTTATTTCCCCAAGTTAAAAGAAACAATATTTCCTTTTAGTTTCTTTCCCGAGATAAAAGAAACGGTTTAGTTTAGCTCCGGGGAAAGTGACAGCTAATGTTGTGAGGTGTAGTGAAGAAAGAAAAAAGCCGGCAATCGCATTTAAAAATCGGCACCGACATACAATTCACATCGGTATAAACATTTGTAAACCGAGGAATTATTTTCAATGGATTTTCATTCGTAAACCGAAAATTCCGTAAACAAAGGTCCACCTGTAGTGCTGGCAGCGCAGGTTTGCTGTGGACCGGTGAAGATTCTGATGCTATTCTGATACCAGTTTTGAGCGTTTACACAATTTCTTTTTCTTCTTTTTTATTAGATTAACAGATCACCCATAATGTATCATTTTAATAATAGTGATTACGAATATATATTTATTTTATTTCATTTGTTTCTCTGCACACATTCAGATTTTTTTTTTGCTCGGCTCTCCTGTTCTCATTCTTATGTAATTATTTTCATACTCTCATTAGGATTGGTTTTAATTCTGACCCCGGGGTGGGGACATTGTATTGATGAGATTGAAATGAAAATCCTCTTTTGTTCTTTACGGTGAAGGGGGGGGGGGGTACGTGGACCCCCAAAACACATGGTGCACTTCTCAAATAGTAACCTTTAATGGAATAAAGTTGTACCTGGACCTCTTAGCGGTGGCGTGGAGCTTCAATTTCCCCTCTTCTTACGCTACAAGCCGTGGAGAGCCCCCCGGGGTGTAGAGGGCGCCAGCCCAAGAACCAGATCGCCAACCTCAACAAAATGATGGAGTGTACCTGAGGGTTCAGCGCGATTTGGCCACTTTCCTCCATAGGAAAGAAAGGTCTGGTCTTCAAGAGTTTATGGGAAGTCCCAGTTATATTTTGTAATAGAGCACAAGGTCTGCTGTGGTTGATGGTAAAGTGATGGAGCCTCTATGGAACCTTCTGCTCATTTTGATTTCTTTCAAACCTTTACTACCAGGAACAAGCTTTATCTGGACTGCTGATACCAGGACGCTGCTCTTTCTTCGAGATGTTACACCATGGATGGGGTCAGAGCCCTTTGTTACACCAGTTTGGAATATGATACTAGGGTACAACACTCCACCTACCCAGCAAGTTTTTATTACAATGTTGCTGTTGGTTTGTTTCCATCTCCACTCTTGGCCTGGGGCTGGTGTGTCAGAGACGGGAAATATTTTTCAACGGGGATAGGAACAGCAAAAAAAAAAATATTAATCCTCATTTCATATCTTGGTGTCACAGAGACAAAGTTCAGGTGTCCCCAGGGAAGGGTTCCTGGTAATACTCCATCATACAAAAGACATGGTAGACAATTGGGCTCTTCCAACCTTGTGGAAACAGTTTGAAGACCCTTTTCTGTTCCACCATGACTGTCCATTGTGGACAAAGCCAGCTCCATAAAGACATGGATGACTGATTTGGTGTGGAGATACTAGTGTGTTCCGACAGAGCCACCCTTACCTCAACCCTACTGAACACCTTTCAGATGGATTGGAATGGCAATTATGAGCCAGGTCTTCTCATCCACCTAAAGACATGTTCATCCACACCAAACTGGTCAAACCATGGGTAGCCAGATACCTGACCTCAACCCTACTGGACACCTTCGGGATGACGTTGAATGGCAATTATGAGCCAGGTCTTCTCATCCAACAAAGACATGTTCCTCCACACCAAGCTGGTCAAACCAC